TCTTCTGTTCGTGTTTCCTTCCTCCATCACGCGCCTCCTCTTGCCGAGTCCACGCCAAGGTTGAACCCATAATTTCTCTGAGCAAAGAGAAACTTCAGCTCTGATTTTGCAACTCCTGTGCACACCCGTGACATTCTTCTGGAAGCTTGGCTTCAATTATTCAAACGACAAGCCCTCTGCCGTCCGGAGGCAGAGCTTTCAGCTTGAATTCAATTCTCGGAGGGAAGTAAAGTACCACTATACATTTGGCTGCTTTCCTAAATGGGCCCTGTTGGAAAAATAAACTTGATTTATTAATCTCCTATTTTTAGTCATGTACCTGCATAGTTCATGTGCCTGCATAGTTCATGTACCCATTTATTTTATCTTTACAGTTTCTAGGAGTTTCATTTAACTGTTTTGGGTTTGGAGTCTTTTGTGCCTATAAAATGGCTTGTGCTTGTACTTGAGAATTGATACATTCAAGCCAAGAATAAAGAAGCATTTCTGGAAAGTTTCTTCTTGTGTTCCTCCCCAGTCTTTCCTCCCAAATCTTTATTTCCAACAGGCCCCTGATTTTGCACTGTTATTAATTAACTTTTACCATTGGAGACGTTGACGCATGGAGCAGCTGACAGTGCAAACATGGCAATCCATTTCCATAGTCATTGCAGCTTTTATTATGGAAGCCATTTTCCTCGGTGAAGCAGCCCCGCATCATGGGAGGTTCTAAAACATCTCTAACTTTCCCATAGTGTTGATTTTACATTCTCTTCATGATCCATAATTGGTGTACTTGTTTGGTTCAGACATGCTGCTTAAGACAATGTTCGAAGTTCACAGTTCCTGAACAAAAACTCTAAAAAAATGGTTGTTATCAAAATATAGTTTTATTTGCTTGATTCCCTTGACTATGGTGATTTAGTTTCGTTTTCTTCTTCATTAAAAAAAATGGTTGTTAAAAATTGGTCAGGTTTTGGGATTTAAAGGCATAGAGTATAGATCAGCAACTAGCCAATTACCATTCTTGCATTCATACAACGAAAAACATCTGACAATTATCATATTTTATTTAATTAAACAAATTGAGCAAATTTGTTGAATTTTTTTATCTTGTCCTTCAACTCAAGATTTGATGATGTTCTTACATATTATATAGACCACCAAGGAAATTGATCATGACGAATAGAAATTGAGAAAGAGAGATGGAAAGGGGGTATTGCTACAGGGAAGTGCTGCCATTTGCAGCCACGGTTGCAGTAGAATGCTCCAATGTTTTTTTTTTTTTTTGAAAGGCAAAAGAATGCTCCAATGTTGTTGTAAATTAGATAAATTTAACTAATAGCATTGATGGTTCCATACTTATAATGGGATATAATGCAGGGAAGCAGTTATCTTTTTAAGGACATTAGCTAGCTGGGTGTTTAAAACTTGTATATAAAATCCAACTAATTTTAATGTTGCTGGAAAACTATGCTCAAATTTGGGAACTGAGAAAATTCAGATAAATTGACTATCATAATCTGGAAACCGTTTAACATCAGAAGTTCAGAACCCCAAGATTAGTTTGCAAAACATGTCCAGCTTAGACCAGCTTTACAAAATATACGTAGAGTACAGTCTTTTTATAAAGTATGCTAACTGAACTTTCAAAATAAATGAGCTTCAGGCTCTAGAGCTTGCAACCTGGTCCAGGGAAAAGCTCCTAACTTCCTGAGGTCCTTGTACTCCCTTAAACTTAGCTATCCTGCAACATGTTAAACTATTTGCGAGCTAATAAGCCCGTAAGTAGATGTTACCAACCAATCTATAACAAAAACTATTAAGCATTTAGTGAACAATATGGGCAATACACCTAGTTCAGATCATAAGACAATCAATTCTTAACTAGCAAAACAGATTAGGAGATCTGGTTAACAAATAAATTGGCACTAACAATGGCAATCAATTTCACAATAACATTCTATGGAGTCAATAATCAATTGTGGTGCACACATAAAATAAGCTAGGACTCGCCTTAGCTATTCCCTACTGCACGTCTGCACAGAGGTCAATGTCTATACAATGAGCTGCTAACAAGAGCACAATGAGTACCCAGTCCTGTTCGGGTCTATATCTCCATAGAAGTTACATCAATAAGCATAATGTCACAATTAGAGCATGTAGAAGCATCTCTAATTCCTTTCTCGACTATTTATTTCAAAGTTTAATTGAAATAATCCTAACTCAGTCATTTAACTTATTTGCAGGTAAGTTCTACTCATCCTTACACTTTTAAAACATGTTGCATGCTCATGAACACACAGGTAGCACATATTCATTTTGTAACCAGGTAACCCCTAGTTGTTGTACAAATTTTTTTTTTAGTCATTAAAATCTACTATCTTTCCTTCAGTCGCATATTTAGTAAGAAACAAATACCTACCTTCACTGTACGGAAGACCTGATTTGGAAGAACTCCTACAGCTTCTTCAATATCCTGAGTTCTGCTGCCCAGCATAACTTCCCACCTTTCCTTTTCCCCTCTCGGCCGAAGAGCACATGCAGAGTGAAAGTTTGAGATTATGTTCAAACTTTAACATTTCAGATAAACAAACAACTTTAGTGGAAATTTAATGAAATCCACTAAAGTTTCCAAAAGTCTAAACATGCAGACTTTATTCTATTGCATGCAAGTATCATCCTGCATTCACTGTTACATGCAGCAAATAGAATAACCATGCATGTTTGATCCCAATCTGTAAATAAATTGTTTCACGCAAATTATATTAGCTTCTATATTAAGTTTTATAAATTCTAGTAACTTAACAAATAAATTAAATAGAATTCCAGATTGCTTTCATTAGTTCATATAAATTGCCAAGTGAACAAAAGATTAGATTGCATTTTTCATTTTTTTTTTCCCTTTTCTGGATATTGGATAATGGTTGATTAAGTTGAGGATGATGCTTTTGAGATCAAATTCTGCACTGTCTTTGTATGTATATTATCAGGAAAAAAAAAAAAAAAGAATGTCTTGATGTTCATATTGGATAATGGTTGATTAAGTTGAGGATGGTGCTTTTGAGATTAAATTCTGCACTTTCTTTGTATGTATATTACCAGAAATAAAATGAATGTCTTGCTCTTTTTCTATTGATAACTTTAAGGACTATTAGATTTTAATGTGAATTAATTGATGCGGTATGTAAGAGTTCGCAGCAAAAAAAATGATGAGAGGGAGAGCATCAGTGAGAGAGCGAGGGCCGGAGAGGGTGATCGGGACCAGAGAACAAGGACAATGGACAGCACAGCGGTATGAGTGGCTTCATCGTGAGAGCAGGAACCAGCAAAGGGAGTACTATGGGGGTTTTGAGAAAAGGATATACAACCAAGCAACCCCTTTCTTCTTCACAAATTTTCCAGATGAATGGTCTTTTGAACAGATGTGGAGTACGTTCAACAGATTGGGAGAAGGCAGGGTTATTGAAATTGAATGTCCCAAGAAGAGAGACCGCATGGGGAGAAGATTCGGTTTCGTCAGGTTCTTGGAGGTGAAAGACGCTGGAGAACTGGAGAGAAAGCTAAATCAAATTCAAAATGGTGGGTTTAAGCTTCAAGCTAACAAACCCCGTTTTGAGAAAGCAGAGAATCAGAACCACCATCAAAGAAATATGGGAACCAGGGCACCAAAAGTGGCCACGCCAAATGCAGGAGCAAAAAGGAATCTGACTTATGCAGAGATAGTCAAAGGAAACACTGCAGATTATCAAAGTACGGGACAAATAGAGGGACGGTACCAAGGTGCAAACATCAGAGAGCAAAGAAAAAGGTTCAGAGCGAGTGTTCAAACGAAGTGGAGATGGAAGCCAAAACAACAACCTCAAGCATGGTCAGGAATGGAGTTTAATGTGAAGCAGAATGAGTATGAATGGCTGGAGAAATGCTTCGTAGGAACAGCTCGCTCGGTAACTTTGATCCCAACTTTGCAAGAAAAATTCTTTATGGAAGGAGTCTTTTTCTGCAAAATCAAAGCAATGGGTGGTAGGTTGGTCTTGTTGGAAGGACATGAGTATGAAGATTTGAAAGAACTTACTGAAACTGGCCAAGATTGGCTAGGTCAATGGTTTGAGGAAATCAGACCATGGAAACCATCGATAGTGGCAGCGGAAAGGTTTGCATGGATTAGGTGTGTGGGTTTACCTTTACATGCATGGAAACCGGAATATTTCCAATCTTTTGGAAACCTTTGGGGCACCTTTGTTTCACTGGATGACAGTACCAGTGGGAAAATCCGTCTTGATGCCGCCAGATTTCTAATATCAACTCCAATGACCGAATTCATCTCAAAGACCCTAACCATAAAGATAAATGGGATCCTATACAAGGTAAAATTTTCAGAGGAGGAATCCAGCAATGGTCTATATATAAGGAATTCAGATTTCAAGATAAATGGGGGCAATGAGTATGGGGATAAAAGATCAACAGAAGCTTCTGATGAGGATACAGATCAGCCTTCGTGTGACATAGATTCCGAGCAAACTCAGTGTGATGAAGAAGATGATGACATGGCAATAGAACTACGTGTTCCGGAGACAGATCTTGAAGATGAAGCAAGAGGGATTGACACGATGGCACGCTTGTCAGTTGACAGCTCAGCAAAAAGGTCGGTGAATCACCAAAATAAGCATAAAGGTCTTGCTAAAGGGATAGAAGAAGAGGCCTCTGTGACAGGGGAACCGGACGAATGTTTTCAAAATGCAAACGAGCTTACAACGGGTGGGTTGGAAGGTTCAACAAGAAAACATTTAATGATTGCTGGGCTCGAGGAGGAGAGGAGCGGAATGGGAGCAGAGATGGATGCCAGCGAGGAAATCATTGGGAACAGGAAGTTTTTCAAAAAGGGGGCAGAGGAGGTAGCTTCACAAGCAAGCAGTGCAGAGTCTGCAACGGACAAGTCTTCAGCCGCTGATGTAGAAATGCAAAGGAAAGAGGGAGAAGCAATTGAAATGATTGGACCGGTAAGGAAAAAGAATTCGGAGAATGGGAGAAATGGGCCTAAGGATGATGGGCCAAACAATGAAGAATGTTACTCAATATCTTTGGGTAAGCATAATGGGCCAAATATTGAAGACCCAAATCCAACTTCTCGGAGTAAGCCTTCCAAAGTGGTCAAAAAGGCAGCTGCTCACGTGAGGACTGATAAGGAAGACAGCTTCTGGAAGGATATGGCCGACGACGCAGGGGAGATGCCGAACTGGACGAAAAAGGGGGAGGGAAAAAAGAATAATCAGCAGAAACGAAGAGTGAAGACCTGCAGATCTGTCTACATGCAGTCAGGCG